AAGGTGACAAAGTCTAGACTGGAAGCCTCCCACAGATGGTTGGTGACCGGCAGGTGTAAGCTATGTGGGCTTCGTAATGAGTACATAGAGCAGCTTTCTCTCTTGAAGCCCGCTTCACATCAGAGGAAAAGAAATCATGGAAGGCTGATTTCTTGCCTGCTCCTGAATACAGCTTAGCATGAAAATATGAGTTGAAATTTCTTAAATCTTAAGTTTAATCTAAATTTTGTGAAACAGAATACCAAATGACTAATAGGATTATGTGATAAATTGTACAACCCAAATATCTTGATGAAAACTGGCCCTTAAACTTATTCTCAATTTTTGGCAGAAAATAGTTTCTTTTTAATAACTTTTATAGGTTAATAGTAATTTATATTAGTTACAGAAGTTTATATACTAGACTAAACTGTATTCTGCTTTAAGCCTCAGTTTACTGATTACTCAAAATTCTTCATACTGCTAGGGTTGACCCCCATCACTGAAGGAAAAATTTGCGTATTTAGCCTAAGGGATATAGGGACAATTGGCCAGTGGTAGCTTACAAGTGGAAACTTGTTTTGTTCTTTTGGTACTTTACAAAAGTGGCTTTATTTTGATTGTAGAGTTAAGTCTCATTCTCCATAGTTAATACAGGTTGCTCATATCAGCTTTGTCTTTTCCAGGATTTGAGCTGCTATCTGTTCAGGTCTGAGAATCTGTAAGGAGGCGGCTTTGGAACTCTCTCAATGGCTTTGCAGAAAAACTGATGGTTTTCAGGATTTTTAGCTGTTGAATTTAGTCCTGCAGGAATGGATGGTTGTTCAGGGTCCTGGTTAACAAGCCAAGCTGGAAAGGAACAGTCATCACTTTGACTTGAAAATATTGGTAGCAGCCAGTACTTCTCATCACCAAAAACTTGTCACATGCTTCTTTTTCTGAAAGCCAAGCTGAATCAGCTGAATCCATTTTTTTTTTTTTTGGTTCCATGTCTAAATATTGAGCTTCTGAATACCTCTACCATAGATTATTTTTGCTGACCTGCAGACAGTGATCACCAGAGAGAGGAGAAGCTGGCAGAGAACATAGCTGCAGCAAAAAATAAAAACAGAATATGGAACTTGACTTGAGTATTTGGCAGACCATTTGTTCAAAATCTGATAAAATTCTGTAAATCAGTAACAACAATGAAAAGGCAATATAGCAGAGAGTAAGTCAAGAAAAGGAGGAAAAACTTTTATAATTTGAAAATCTAGCACAATTGTTCATCCATGGGCAATGATGATCCATCTTCTTTTTTTTTTTTTTAACGGCCCCGCTCGCTCGGGCCCCGCTCACTCCGGCCCAAAGGTTTTTACTTATTTATTATATGTAAGTACACTGTTGCTGTCTTCAGACACCCTAAGAGGGCATCAGATCTCATTATGGGTGGTTGTGAGCCACTCATGACCTTCGGAAGAGTAGTCGGTGCTCTCAACCGCTGAGCCATCTCACCAGCCCCAGTGATCCATCTTCAAAATACATTTATGATAGACAGAACAGTAATGGCAGGGGTCTGGTTTTATTCACTTAGTATTTGTTATAATATCTGATTGCGCCGGATATGGTTCTGGTTTAGCCGCTCGCCTTAGAACTTCCTGATGGCTCTCTCCAGCAATTCTTTCTCTACATAAGTGAGATGGGATTCTTTTGAAGGATTCATAGGCAATATAAAAAGGGTTTTCCACCATGACCAGGCAAACATTGCAAACAGTAGATGATAAGCCACGAGGCATACACGACTTGTTCACCAATGTTTTTCATGGACATTATGCTCTGTTGGATACTGTAAGCTTAGTAGGACAAGCCCAGCAGCAAGCTGATGAACAGCACTGGGATCCAGTAGGGCAGCCGCCAGCAGCGCTGCTGCCTCACTCCACCCGGGCCCGAGGGCAGCATCTTCCAGCAGCGCACACCTCCCCAGCTCC